TGGAGATGCATGTTAAGGACACTGGCCTATAGTTCACTGCCTCATATTTCCTTCCTTTTTTGTATATGGGGCAGATGTTGGCTGATTTCCATACAGCTGGTATCTCACCAGTTTGATAAGAATGGTTAAAAATCAAGGTAAGGATTGGGGCCACATCATCTGCCAATTCTTTGAGAATCCTTGGTGTTATGTTGTCTGGTCCAGGAGCTTTGGTTACATTCAGCCCCTTAAGTAACTTGTGGACTCCATTTACTGTTATGTTTAGGTCTTCAATCTCAAGATATCCACCCTTCATATTGCATCGCTTAGAAAACTCTTCAGCTGTGATATCCACTTTTTCCGAGAAGGCTTCTTTAAACTGTTCATTTAAAATATTTGCTTTGTCTACTGAATCCTGGCGAAGAAGGCCGCCCTTTTTTAAAGGTGGTATGCTATTTCCATCTGATTTTCTATGTTTGACAAAAGTCCAGAAACGTTTATTTCTGTCCTGATTTGCATCATCTGGTCCTGATGTTACAATGTTTTCTATGTACTTCCAGTATGAGCGTCTAATCTCCTGCTGTGTTTTCCGTTTTAATTCCTTATAAGTGTTAGCATCCTTTGTATTTCCTGACTTTTTCTTTTTCTTGTAGTATGCATTCCTTTTCTTTATCAATCTCCGGACATCTCGTGTAATCCAAGGCTTACTATCCTTAGTTCTGGCTAGCTGTGATGGAATATGTTCTTTGATACTTTCTTCGAGGGAGTGTTGAAAATGATTCCATAGGCTATTGGTCGAAAGTGCCTTGTCCCTCATGGATTTGATGACAGTTAGTGCTTCTTTCATGTCTTTCCTGATCTCATCCCAGTTTGCCTTTCTGTACAATGGTATTAAACGAGGTCGTTGTTGTTTTCTAGTTGGTATGACGTCTACTTCTACAAACACTACATCATGATCTGAAATACCGGGCATGATGGTCTCCACCCTGTTGCCAATGGATGGATAGTTGGTTACCACTAAGTCAAGTGTGTTTGCCCCTCTTGTTGGATTAACGACCAACTGCGATAGTCCTAGGTCATCAAGAGTCTTTAAGAATTCATTGTGTATCCTCGTGTACTTGTTCCAGTTTTGGTGCTTTTTGTTTCCCAATTTATGGGAGGAAGATTGAAATCCCCTGCTGATATAATTATAGCATTATTTACCCTGCAAGCTCTTTCCATACTTTTGTAATAACTTAGGAAGCCTTCTTCATTACTTGTCTTTGGATTATAGAAACTGGATAAGTAGATTGTACGATGACCGACCAGATTTAGTTTGCACCACACAATTTCACACTCTGTTTCGAATTCAGGCACTGACGAGGTGAGAAGATCATTTTTCACTGCTATGATTACCCCTCCTCCACCAAGATTTCTGTCTTTGCGATAGGTAGTGAAGCCTATCGGGAGAAACTGTGAATCCTTAACAGAGTGGTCAATCCATGTTTCTGTTCCAAAGATTACGTCGGGATTAGTGCTTTCGATGAGATTAAGTAATTCACCTTGTTTTGTTTTAACTGACTGAAAATTGACATTCAAGAGTCTTAGATTTTTCTTATACTTTCCTTTTCTGTGATTATTACTGTCTCTTTCTGAGGTAGAGGTATGTAGTGGGCGCATGGGTGAATCGCTGCCCGGGCTGTCTGGTAACTCACCAAGAATACTGAAGTTGTTGCTAGTACTAAAGGCCATTGAAAAACAAAAAGTAGAGAAATTTGGACATCCACACATAATGCAGTCCCAGGCTAAGGCTGAGTCATTCACGTGGCGTTGGTACGATCCTGGTGTCATTGACTGGCATGCCCTGTGGTACCATTGGTTGCATGTGTCACAGACTATACCATGCTGGCTCCAGTCAACTGTTTGGTCGCATGTTCCACATGCATGATGATGGGTGCCCTCACTGACATTATAAGTACCTGTAGGACCTGGATTTAGTGCAATATCATTTGAAAGTAGTAATACAATAAACGAAATGTGATGCATACTAAGATCTTTTACCGTCTGCTGAACGTTTTTTTTGGCTTAGATGCTTTGAAGAAGAACGTGAACCATTCCTTATGCCATTGTTGTTTTATAACCTCTGATGTGTGTCTATCTTGGTAAGTAGATTCACCTGACATCAGGATAAAAAGCGCCACCAAGGAAACAATCGTAACTATCCTACTTACAGGGTTGGTCATTATTGTTAACTTGTTTACAGTTCGAATTTCCTCTGCAACTGATATGGTTAGTGTCTATGTCCAGATAAACGCAAGGATTTTTTTAGAAATCACATAAGTACACAAAATACTTAATTCGTGCACCATACCCACCAATCCATATTTACCATGTAGTTGAAATTTACAGAAAAATAAGGATATTTGTACAAAATTCTCTGCTGTTGTGAATTTTCCCTCTATATTTTCGCGCATGCGCACACCTCTACAACTTCAGTATTCTTGGTGAGTTTAAAAAGGATGACTCAAAGATCTATAAAGTAAAAAGTTGGTGTGGCATTCCACCTTAAGGTAACTTTTTAATTTTGAAATTAATGACCCCCAGAACACCACCGGGCTGAACTCTACTCGTCTAGACCTTCCATTTGATATGTTACACGATACCCTTTGGGTAACTTTTTGATTCTGTCTCCTTCCGTTTTCCCTAAATTTTGATATCAGCAAGTATCTTTGGAAGTGCTGTTGTCTGTTTCCGGCGAGCCCTATATAAAGATGATTTGGCAGCGTTGAAGGTTGGCAAGTTCTTGATTATCTCTATGCTAGTGTTCTCCAACTGAGTATCTCGAAGGGAGTTTAGCTCTTTTGTAAAGGTGGAGGTGATAGGTCTAACTTCTAGCGGAATGTTGTTCATAGTCGAAAAGCTGAATGAACATCCTGCAACGACGTACATGTATTTCCATAAAAGCCCGGTGTCTCTTTTGCGAGGTTGGAATAAACCACACAAACTGACCTAATAGATCTTTTCTATCTTTGTATTGTCAATGCATCTAGCACATTGACAATGTGTTCAATTAAAAATAACGTAAAAATAATAACGATGCATAATATTTAACGTTTTATTAAAATTTATACTAGCAACATCATAAAATATGAAAAAGATTCCGCAAATCCTCTTATACCGCTGAATGAAATTTAATGAAACTTTCTCAAATTCTTTGTGATATGGTGCCATTGTACGCCTAGCTTCTATTTTAATTTTTGATAAAAAAACATATTTCGAGTTCCCCATAGCAAAACATGAACGCAGCCATTTAATCTATAATATTGAGGGGGTACCCATCTTCTATTCACAACTCCTCTTATACCATTTAATGAAATTAAATGATATTTTCACATATTCTTTATTACACAGTGCCATTGTAACCTCCTATTTTACTTTTTATATTTTAGGTCTCCAATAAGCCATTATAATCATATTGGAGGCTGGAGTATCATGTTGTGAGGTCAGTTCTCACAGTTCTTTAAGTTTAACAATCTACCTTGTCGACGATGAAGTGTAATGCAACGTAACTATGATAAAGGCGTGGAGAATTCTCAAGTCTTTGAATCATGGTTACAATGTTTTGCAATGATAGAGTTTTCTTTTAAATGCAGGGGATCTTTTAAAATAAAGAATATATTCCAAGGATTACGTACTAGTATTTAAAATTAAATATAACATTTCTTGGTCTATTCAGTCACAGGAGTCTGAAGTTTTAATCGTCAAAAAAAAAAAAAAATCCGGAAAAAAATTTTCCTACCCTTAACTAAAAAAAAAACCCAGGATGGCAACGTGTTTTGGGGGGACCCACCGAAACAAATAGATCTGGGCTTTGTCGGAAAAATCTCGCAACTAATTCAGTATCCGGAGTGTTTGTGCTATTTATTCAAGTAAAGAAATCAAATCTGCTTGACGACTACGGGCTGTTCATGGCCTTTTTTCCAGTTTGACAGCTCATCCTGGACTCCATGCCACTAAACCGGAAGTGAACTCTGAGGTGAATATATGACGTAATTGAAGAAAAGAACCAAAAAAAAATGCATGTAAAACTTCATGTACAATTTTATGTCACCATACGTGATCAATAAAAAGATATATTTTTCAAACAAAATAATGCTTTATAAGGGTGCTTAGTCTAACTGTTTGGCTCTTTGTCGACATGGCTTTTCAGTGATTTAAATTTGGCGCTTGTAAAAACAGAATTATCTGTCCCTGGTACACATCGTCGTACAAGTAAGAAAAAGAATAAATAACTTTTTAAAGTTCTCTTAAATATATTTAAAATAACTGAATAAAATTACGTTGAACAATTATTTATTTTATTTCATTTGAACAAGTTTTTATAAACGTCAAATATACACTGCGAGATTCTCTTCCGGTTTAGTGGCATGGAGTCCAGGATGAGCTGTCAAAGTGGAAAAAGGGCTAGGAACGGCCCGTAGTCGTCAAGCAGATTGAATTTTTCACATTAAATAAATAACAAAAACGCTCCGGAAACTGAATTAGTCGCGAGATTTTTCTAGCCAAGCCCAGATTTATTTGTTTAGGTGGGTCCCCCCAAAACACGTTGCCATCCTGGGGTTTTTTTAGTTAAGGGTAGGAAAAATTTTTTCCGGATTTTTTTTTTTTTTTTTTGACGATAAAAACTTCAGACTCCTGTGATTCAGTCGAACAGCATTCGAGCTTAAAAGTCTAGTCAAACATTATAAAACAGGAGCGGATCAAACACGGACCTCCAAAATATCAGAGGTGGGATCAGGTGCCATGGAGTGAGCATCTCTTGCTGACCGATCACACTCGCCGTGTGCTCCTTGTCATGTTCGAAAAAAAGGAAAATATCTACCTTAAAAGACAAACAGCGCATGTATTTAATTAAAATGAATGAAAACGAATGCACTTTTTCTCGTGCATTTCACTGTAGTCTACGCGAACCAACAATAGAGGTGAATTGTTTGAGCCAATGGTTTCCGTCACACACAAGTTCCGCACCTATTTAAGTAAAGAGGTCAACAGCCGTATACTACCAGGTATTCATTTCCTAATACAACGGCGCACCATAGTGAGGACCTTCACAGAGGTACTAGTATTTAAAATGAGTTCTCTTTTGAACAAAGTCGTCATCATAACAGGTTAGTATATTATACAATTGATTTAAGATGTAAAAATGATGTCTCTACCAGCTGCATTATGTGTTTGTCTCTGAAGCATGTGAAACTGGCGTTTCACTGCTTATTGATTTTGAACTCTACTTTCAGTCTTTTAATTGCTTTGTTTTGTGAAGATACAAGTTTCCAAAAGAATGATAGTTGACGATATTGATGCAAAATTAATTATTTAGCTGTGACCCTTTTTTATCTCTCTATCAGTCTTTCTATATATTGGACTATGTTCCAATTTCCAAACAGACCAATTGTATATTTAGAAATGCGAATTCTACGAGGCGCCGTTTTAGCATTTTATATTTCCTCACACGATAAAGCGCATTGATGTGGTAAAAAAATGTTTTGTCTGAGTAAAAATTTAGGGGCTTCACTATCATCTATTAATGTTAAATTTTCAATTTGGTTTCCATCTTTCAGGCATGTAATATTTTCTTTTTATATTTATCTTCGTTGCACGTTTTTTTTTCAGTTAATTTGAGAATAAAGTTCATCCATTCACTACCAGGTACTTCACTTTTTTTAACCAACAGGTGCTAGTTCGGGTATTGGAGCTGCAACTGCTCTTGAATTTGCGAAAACTGGTGCCAAGTTAGTTTTAGCCGCAAGAAACGTAGAGAGACTTAATGATATAGCCAGTCAATGCGTAGCAAAGGGACTACAACAGGATAAGGCAAGTATATATTATCGGGGAAACTGTTTAATGAATGTAGGCATATAGAAGCAATATAACATTGCTGCATCCAGTGAAATACAGAGATAACGAACTGTATTCAAGCTTGAATTCCATTTAAAAAATACAACTCAGGAGCAGAACAATGAACCTCCAAAAACATTAGAAGTGGGATCAGGTACCATAGAAGAGTGAATATCCCCTGCCGACTGGTCACACCCGCCGCATGTTCCCTGTCATGATCGAGAAATAACGAAAAAATCCGTGAACAATGCAGTGTGTAAATAATGCCCTAAAATTAGTATTATAAACGTCAGTCAGTATTTAAGTTGTTGATATAAGAAAATTGATCGATCAAAAAAGAAAGAAAGAAGAAGAAACTAAAAACAAATGATTCAAATCTGTGAACAGGACATAAAACATGGACCCCAGAAATTCTAGAGGTGGGATCAGGTGCCGAGGAGGAGTAAGCATCTCCTTTTAACCGGTCACATCCCACACCAGCCGTTTGTATTTATCAGGTGGACTGAATGGTCAAATTTAGTTACAAAAACGAAACGAACACCTCACGATTATTTCAAGGGTATTTTGGCAAAACTTTTATTACAGAATGCGCAATGTAAATAACTTACTAAGTCTCTACTTGATCAGTTTTCTTGAAGACTGGATTCAAACGATCCTGCTGTCCTGAAAGTGATATGTACGAGGGTTGATCCAAAAGTAATGTCTCAACTTTCATAAATTTGCTATAAATCGACGTAAAGCAACAGAATTATACATGATGGAAGCATTATTTATTTCAAATCAGACCTGAAAAATTCAAAGGAATATGATGTATACTTTCAAAAATATCTTATTTTAAACAATGTGCGTTTATGGTAGTCGCCGCACCTAGATATTACGTCATATGACGGATACGCTCCGTCATACTTTTAAGCGTTTCCCCTTCGTTTCATTAAAAAAATATTTGTGATTCGCAAACACTTTCACCAATTCCACTCTCTTTAAGAATTCTTGTACCATTATATACTCACTCTTTTCATAATCAAACCCTATGTCAAAATATTTTGAACAGTAGCATAAGACAAACTTAAAAATTCACATGTCACTCTAATACGTCTGTCTTTTTTGACAACGTCAGACACCATTGAACGTTTCCGTCCGATCTCCTATCTTTCGGTCCTCTTGTCCTCTGCTGATCATTCAGTGACCAATCTCCCACCCAAAATTGCTGAAACCATCTATTAAGATGTCTCTTATTTACATTCTTTATTCTGTAAGTCTGATTAATTAATGTAACTGTCGCTTGTGATGATTTCCATATTTTGAAGCAAAAATGCATTACAACTCTTCGAGCCGATTTTTCTCATTTCGACAATTCCTTTGTTCAATTCAACAGAGTAAAACTACAATGTTTATGATCACAAATACCAATGCCGTCATTTAATTTTCAATTACAGACTAGAAAATGGCGAGAATTGTGTCTTTTAAAAAATTGGGAGATTAAGTGCTTTTTTAGAAACTTTTTAATGTGCTTGTCTTTTTTATTCTAAGAAAAAATACACTTTATAGCGTGACGTTCCGTTGTGACGCGGCGACACCCTCTATGCTCTATATTTTAAACATCTATAAAATAAATTCAAATAAACATTATTTAATTAAAATTTCAATGTTAATTAGATTTATATTTGTGCATCGTATTTGATAATATGACGCCAAATATAAAAGATATGGACACTGTGACATTACTTTTGGATCAACCCTCGTATATTGTAGAAGCTTTATAAAAGCGTATGAATGAAATTGCCGTCTAAAGCATTTTCAAAGTCGCTTCTAAATGCATAATATCTTCCAACGAATCTCGTTCATAAGTGAGTACTTATATGATAACATTCATGTTCTTTTCTCTGCGTATATAATATAAATATAATTCTACATAATATACACAATAATTCGGAAAACAGATCGTGGCAAAATGAAGGTAATCTTGTGATTCGTTTGTAACATAGTGCTGTGTAATTATACATGCACAGTCACATCTAATTGTTCCTAAATTGTACAGCTAAATTTTATAATACATGTAATCAATTTCACTGGTGAATTCCTGTAACTTTCATACAAATATATTTTATTTTTACTTTTCCAGATATTTGTGAAAGGTTGTGATATCACAAACGAAGAAAACTTGAAAAGTTTAATCGATTCATCAGTGAAAAAATACGGTCAAATCGACGTATTGGTAAGTAAACGAAACTTGGACATGATGGGTTTGGTAACCCCCTTCTCCGTGAAACTGAAGTGTTATCACTATACAAACTTGATGTAAATCAGACCACTGGTGTTGATACTATTGATCCACGTCTTGTAAAACACTCTGCACAAGTCAAATATAAACCAGTCACTCATTTAATCAATTTCAGTTAGAATATCAACAGGGATATATTCCCAAAAAGCCTCAAAACTGCAAGTTTACACCCATTATTAAACAACAAATGAGACAAACAGGACCATAGCTGGAAAAAATACGCAAATATCCCTTCTACCCACATTTTCATAAATCATTTAAAAATGTATCCGATCATATTCGTAATTTTTGGTCAGGTTTTTTAAATGCAAATCACAGTCAGGATTCAGATGGATGATTTTCAAGACAGTCTTAAATTATTTATGAAATTATTGCAAAATAAGAAAATAATATGGAACAGTCATATACAAAACAAAATGTTCTTTTTAAGTATTTTTTTTTAATCCCTAGTTCTTGATTTCAAAAGTGAAATACCTGCATTATTAAACTTTCAAAACAACTATCTATAAATTCACTCATTTTGAAAGAAAATGTCTCGCTTTTAGTAATTTTTTATCTTTAATGAAACTGAATTGCAGGTAAATAATGCTGGTAGTGGTAAATACGTGCCTTTTCTGGAGACGTCCGCGGAAGTGTTCGATGAAATCTTCAACATCAATGTCCGAGCACCATTCATACTGACCCAGATGTGTGTACCACATCTAAAGAAGACACAAGGTGCCGACAAAAACAGAAAATTCTGATATTCTGTTGAAAAGAACATTTTGTAATTATTTTTGGTTAATTTTGTAATGGTATAATATGTTTATTAACTTTACAGGGTGCGTTGTTAATGTTTCCAGTATATCGGGACAAAGATCAGTAAGTTTAACAATTTGAACGTTTAATTTTTTTGTCAATGTGTGAGCACTGAAATAAAAACAACCTTTAAATTTTTGTTTAGTTATCTTGTTCACATTTATTGTAAATGTCTTAGCTGTATTGGACGTACGTTATCTTACAAATCATTAACTATTTGGTACAACAAATGTTGGTAAACTTTTCTTTTCTCTCTAGTTTCCAATGGCAATGTCATACTGTATGAGCAAAGCAGCCCTTGACCACTTCACGAGGACTCTAGCTATCGGTCAGTTAATTTGGCTAATCTTTTTTCCTACCGCCATTTCTTATTTTTGATTTACATTTCCAATACACAATATCCCCATTTACAGATTTGGCAAAAGAAAAGGTTCGGGTCAATTCCGTCAAGTAAGTTTAAAAAAAATATTCTAAGGATTTGAATTTTGCATGAACACTGGTAACTATTAAACAAATTTTTCATAGATTGTCTATATGCCTGGTGTAAATTTATTTTCAGTCCTGGAGTTGTTATTACGGAATTTCAGAGGCGAGCAGGAATGACAGAGGAAGCCTACAGTAAGGTTAGATCTTATGTTGGGTCACTTTCTTCAAAACCTTCCAATCACAAACATGATTCCCAAACAGATTGTTATATTTTCTCGTACTGTGTTCCTACAAATTATTATTAATAGACTCTAATTCCTTTCTGATTGATTTGACAAAACTTTGCCTCTTTCTTTTTGAGAATGATTCTGACCTATTGATTTCCTTTACAATTAAAGAAGGATTTCAAAAAATTCAATCTGTCAATCAACTGTTTCATTTTGATTAGCTAGGATTTAGAAAATATGTTTGCAAGGTCTTCCATTGGATTAAAACAAAACAAAACCAAAAAAAAAACAAACAAAAACAAAAAAAACAAACAAAAAACACCCCCCCCCCAAAAAAGATACATTTTTTTATTTTTTATTTATTTATTTATTTATTTTTATTAATTATGCCTCTTTCTTTTGTCTTCTGGTCTTTTATGCGGAATCGTTCGTATAGCTTGTTCCTTTAACGTCACATGATCTGTCACTTGTTTTAAAATACCTGTAACTTAAGCCCTCAGGATGTGGAATCCTCCAAAAACTTCCCTCTTGATGTGTGTTTAAATTTTAGTGGAAATGCATGCTTTTGTTGAATGAAATTCAAACGTTTAGTATTTAGAAAAGCAGAAGGAATTACAGCCACTGACAGCAGCCATTGAACCGGAAGAGGTTGCCAAGGTGATCTTGTTTCTAGCCTCTGACCAATCATCATCAGTCACGGGAGAACTTATCTTTGTGGATGGAGGGCGCCATGCCAAGGCACCTGTGTAAAGAGACTGTGTCATTAGCTACCAATAGACGATAATATAAGATATCAGAATTTCAACTACTTTTGTTTTGCAACCAGAATCTTTGTTCAGTTCAGTATGTTTTGTAACCGGAATCTTATCTTAAAATAGTTCCGTAATATCTTTCCGCAATTTGCAGTGAATGGTAGCTTAAATGTTTATTGATTACATTTGAGTGATATAATAAAATCAAAATAGTGTTATTTCTATGTATGTACACTTTATTGCATTATTGTTTTAGGCAGTTGCTTACAATTAAGCTTATTTTAACTTCGAATAAAGTTGACTTTGTCACAAACAACTATTAATAAAGAACTGCATCATTTACTTAGGTTTAACTTTGTTTTTTTCTTCCTGACATCGCTTCATGTTTGATATACAAAATAAGAGAAAAAGATAAAAGTCTTGCAAACATATTCATTTTATTTATATCTAGGAATCATTTTTAAACAAATTTTATTTACTAGTATAGCTCACCTCGACGAAGTCCAGATGAGCTTAGCTATTACCACAGTGTTGGTGTCGGCGTTAAAAGTTTTAGGAGCAGGTCCATTCCCAAGTAAGTCCTACCTGGACCAAATTTTCGTGGATGGTGTATCTAGAGATGAACATTATCAGACTTGCTTCAGATGTTGGACTCAACTTATATTTTACAGATGAGTGACCAGAAGAAAGTTTTAGGTGTTGATCCATCCCCAAAAAATATATGTCCTTCTAGACCAAACTTTCATGGATGATGCCTCTAGGTATACACACTACCAGACTTGCTGTGGATGCTGAATTTGACCTACATTTTCTGTATTTTCCAGATGAGTGACCAGGTTTAGATTTTTGGAGAAGTCTATTCACAAGATACTATACGCCCTACTAAGATCAAACATGCATGGATAATGCACATTATCAGACTTGCTTCGGATGCTGGATCTGAATTGTATTTTCCAGATGAATGAATTTTAGCCATACTTAAACCAAATAAACATGGATTGTGTATCTACTTATGAACACTCCAGACCAGCTTTTGATGCTGAGTTTCACAAATATTTTTTTCCAGATGAGTGACCAGGATCAAGTTTTTGGAGCAGGTTTGTTCCCATGTAAATGCAAGTCCTAATGAAACCAAACTTGTATGTATATGATCTCAGGAAATCAACAGTAAAAAGGGAGAGTAAAGCAGACTGCATTCGAACCAACTGCTAGAAAGAAGATGGGCGCATTTGACGAGTGATCTGCAGGAATCATTTCTACGAAACATTTATGGTTTAAATGTCCATGATTTGGTTGGCTGAACATAGCTGGTCAGATTTTACAAACACGTCCATAGGTTTTTTTTTCATTTAGTTTGAAAGACATTGTGAAATTGTAACATTTAAGTCCGTTTTTCCTAGGGGGTACTAAAACATAGTAACGTTTCACAAAAAATAAACACCTAAAATATTTAACGCATAGATGCATGATACGTGCACATGTACATTATAGAATAGAAGATTAGAATTGATTTCGCTCGAGAACCAAACTGAACTACATTTATCTAATTCAAAATTTTAATACATCAGTACATAAAACGAATCTAACTAAATAAATGGTTGCTTGCATGGGAAAAAAAATTAATGCCCCATGCCAGGCTCGAACCAAAAACTTATCACAATGAGTGCACTGAACTAATAACCCAACTCACTGAGCTATCGCCGCTTCATATATACAAATGATTTTAAAAGGACAAAGAAGCACCACATTCACACATTTGGATTTTTTGGGGAAATGTTCATTTTTCGTGGTCTCTGGGTCTTCTCTCCATTTTTTAAAAAAGTATATTCGTTTCTTTGAATTAAAATACACACAAATAACGTTTCAAAATCATGGAGAGAAGACCCAGAGAGAGAAAATTTTTAGCAAAACGTGTTTAAAAATGTACCATTTTGTACTACATGTCTGATCTGGGCAATTTTCAAATTATTTTTTAGCAAAACAAAGCTGAATTTCCGGAAAACATTTTCATTTCCTGTTGCACAGGAACCTGATAAATTAAAAAAATGTTAAAATTTCACGTGACATGTTGATAAAATTTTCACTTTTCAATTACGCCCAGATTCCTGCCGAATGTCAATCAAAAGCGCCCTCGTTCTTTGTAGAGGCATCAAAAATACAGATGATGTGTGCAGCATGATACTAGTATTTGAAAATGCCAGAATTACAGTGAGACATTTTGCTAAACTAAACTAAATATTTCGTCACCACATTATTTTGTATAGTTTTTTTCACAAAGGAAATGAATCTTAGTTTGAAGATGCATATACTGACTGAGACATTCTGGTTATGAGTACAAAGAATTTAGATATGTGTCAAGGTAACAGTATTCACTGCAAGTATTTTACAGTGGTGGACGAAAAAGTACCAGATGCAAAAAAAAAGATTAAAACTAGGTTCCCAAACTACGCCTGAGGTAGAAAATTATGCCTCATAATCTTTACAACTAATCACCCAGTGGGTCAATGACGCGACAAGCAGCAGATGTTGTCCTATTTGTGAACGTAATGGATGCCTCCAGTATAGATGCTTTGGCAAAATAAAACAAATCTTGTCTCATTAAATAGAGAAGCCTGAAGTCGACATAGACGTTAAGTAGCGTGTTGCACTTCGTTATTTCTGCATTTAGGACAATGGCTTCCCTTTTAAACAAAGTTGTAATTATAACAGGTAAATTTTTTTCATTTTTTGTATCGATATAAATGCTGAAATTCCTCCAGTTATTTATTGTTTTTTAGCTATTGCAATTTTTATGTGACATAAATGAGTTCTATAGTTCATTGCTTCACTGAAGCAATTGATTGGTTGTATGTTGTTTAACGTCCCTCTCGAGAATTTTTCACTCATATGGACACGCCTCCACTTGTGGAGAGCAGCAAATTGTGTCCTACTCGGCGGCATTCAGGACCATTGCGCAGTGATTGAATTGTTCACTTAACATAAAAGCAAGGAAGTTATATATTTATACATGTAAAGACGAATTCTATATCATTGTTTACTTTATGTTTTTATCTCATTCTAAAACTATAATAATCAAAAATAAATTTTTGATTTAAAAACATTCACATAGGCCTATTTATTTTAAATTAAACACTAATTCTTTCCTGAAGTGGAGAAGCAGAAAAACTCAACATTTATTTCAGGTAAACAATGCAGGGAGTGCTCAATATGTCAACTATCTTGAAACAACAACGGAAGTGTTTGATACTACCTTTAATCTCAACATCCGGGCCCCCTTTTTTCTCACCAAGCTGTGTACCACACACTTGAAGAAAACGAAAGGTAATCAAAGTACTCAGAAGTACAGAGAGCCGGGCTCATTTACAGAGTAGAATGAATTTCTTACATGAATCAAACGTTTATATTCTGATGAAAAAATTATTTTACAACTATCAATATAAATGATAAGATACTGACAGTGAGTTTTCGTTCCTAATACCACGGTCCGATTCTGTCAGAATCAGAATTAATCTGGTACCGCAGCTGAATGTAAACATTCCAGGCCAGTCTGGTTCCCTCTCCCGCTTTACCTCGTATTTGTAGAACTACGACAACACTAATTATCAAAAATCCTTACGCTAATGAACTATGTTCTTTGACTTAGGACTGAAGTTTTCAAAGTCATTACTACTAATGTTTTATATAGATAAAACTTTGTTTTATTTTTGTTGCTTTTAGCGTTTGTATTATCTCAAAAGCGGTTGAGAGTAAGAACTATATTTTTACTCGTAACTTTAAAATGGCGACTATGGGGTGGACTTCCTGCCTTGAACAGGATGACATAAGCCGGCAATTGCTCTTTGAGCAATAAGCCCAGCTAAAAATCAAAGCTTAAATTCAGTTATGAATTAAACTGAACTAGAGGTACTGTGAGCAATGAGCTCACTAAATGATACCCCCGCCTCCCATATGTATAAAATGGCAGTGTCCATGTTTTGCTAAAAACCCAAAATATGTGTCGGATCAAAGAGTAAAATAGGAGGCGCACAATGGCAATATGTAATAAAGATTCTTTCAAAGTTACATCAAATTTCATTCAGTGGTATAAGAGGAGTTGCGGATAAGAGATAGGTACACCAAAGCGTAACAGATGGACGTACGGACCGATGGACGCACAGATGGACATACCGATTACTATATACCCTCGCAAGATTCCAATAAGAAGTTTGCTATTTTATATAGGATGTGCGGTGAATGTCTCAAGCCTTGCGGGACAACGTTCAGTAAGTTTTTACATTTAAACTTAAAGTGTTATTGTATTCATAAAGTGATAGAGCTATAGTTTAAACTGTTAAGCATATACTGGCTGCACATGCTACTATATGTTCAGTTTTAATCCCAGTATTCGTTAAAGACACTACTTTATTCTCCAGTTTCCGATTGCAATGGTGTACGGAATGACTAAAGCAGCCATGGACCAGTTTACAAGGACTCTGGCGGTTGGTCAGTATTTTATACAAATCACTCTCGTAGTGTTTCCTGGGTTTATTTTCATTTTTGTCATGTAAATTATCTGTTATTTACAGATCTGGTGAAAGATAGTGTTCGGGTTAATTCAGTAAAGTGAGTAACAAAGAGGAGATATTTTTATCCAAAACAAATAAGTTACGCATTCTGCAATTTAGTACAGTGTATCTTGTTCACACTACTTATTAATTACACTCCATCATCATAAGTTCTGTCGAAAGGGAGTTTTTGAAAGTAAAACTGTATGAAAAATATACCTCCAGGATGAAAAATTACGAAATCTCAAAAACATATCTAATGGGTACAATAAACATATTCTGAAAGTAGAAGTGGCTACTTCTTAAAATGTAAGATGTACTGGAAACGTGGTTTTTGGAGCAAAAATGTCCTATATGTGGCCAGCTAGACTCCCTTTAAAAGTGAAAAATCTTAAACCTTATTGCACTTTTACATAAAAAAGTACCACTCACATTGCGAAAGAAACTGTATACATTTAAAGTGCATAAAACGTAACAAAAGGTCCAGGAATATTTTTTAAGGAAAAACGTCTGATCCTCTTCCCATTGGTCCCCATGATATAAAAAATGGTACTTCCAAAACCTTATTGCACATCTACAGGACAATCACATTCCAAAAGACACTGTGCCTACTGCTTAAAACAAAAAAGAACAATTGGTAGAAAAACAATAAACTGTTGTTTCGCGAATTCTTTGGTCGATATAGTGATTTGTGACCTTGTTGCAAATACAATCTCTAAGTCAAATGTTGACTGACGTTTCTTATGCTAATATTGTTAGGCCATTATTTTTACACTGATTTGTCTATGGATTTTCAAATTTACCCGATCAACTCAGGTGCACACAGTTGGTGTGACCACTCGACAGGAGGTGCTTACTCCACCATGGCACCTAATCCGATCTCAGATGTGTTTGTTCTGCTCCTGATCTGTATTATTTTGATGAATTTTAGAGCAAGATTACTGTTCGTTATCTTCATATTTCACTTACCCCATACCGGGTATATAAAGGAAACTTCCAGATTCTTTTTGCACATCTACAGCAGTCGACAGTTCATATCCACCCGCGCGATAGCCAGTCGTCTTTCAAAATAATTTATTGGTTGTGTCCTGTCGATGTGCAGAAGAATTTTGATAATTTATTTTTATTAAGAAGGCTTATCAAGCATGCAATAATAAAAACGTTTTTATGTTGTAGTACATAGAAAAACAGAAGGAACTACAGCCTCTGACGGGAGCTGTTGAACCGGAAGAGGTTGCCAAGGTGATCCTGTTTCTAGCCTCGGACCAATCATCATCGATCACAGGAGAACTAATTTATGTGGATGGAGGGCGTCACGCAATAATGCCCTTGTGATGTACACTGCACTGACACTAAACATGTAAAAAGAATAAGCCTAGTGTTCTATGTATGGGGCGCCGTTTTGGTATTTAGTGCCAAAAAGTGATATCACCTATTCGAATAGATGATATCACCTATTCAGTTGGTGATATCACCTATTTGAATAGATGATATCACCAATTCATTTCCATTTTTTTTGGCAGTAAATACCTAAACGGCACCTCATATCTATGGATGAACTTTTTCACCATCAGAAACACAATTCTATGAAAGAAAGTTCAAATTTTCGCTTTGGTAGAACAAGTGAAATTTAGTTTGACCCTCTTTTTTCAATTATATATACATTACTCAAGGTGCTGCATAATTATACCGGTACCCCCACTTGAAAAGTGGGAGGGTATATAGCGATCAGGATGTCCGTCCATCCGTCAGCACAGAATTCTGGCGGTATAAATGCAGCGGCCAGACTTTTATAAAAATGGATCTGGGGATGCAGCTTTTGGATGTTGTTAGATTTTTTAAAAAGTAAATAATGGAATGAAACATATGGAGATAAACAAACAATATTCAAGATCAAAAGTCCATAAAACAATACAAAATAGTAGCAAAGCAAACACGGAACCCCAAAACATCAGAGGTGGGATCAAATGCCACGGAGGAGTGAGAATCTCTTGCCGACCGGTCATTACCGCCGTGTGCTCGTTGTCATGATCGGGAAATAACGGAAAAATCCGTCGTCACTTAAGTGTATAAATAATGGTCTTACAATAAGTATGAAAAAAGGCAGTCAGCATTTGACTCGGTGATAAATTGTATTTGCTGACAAGGTCATTGTATAGACCATAGAACTAACGAAATGATTACTTTAAACAGCTGCTGATATTCGTGTTTCATCAACTTGTTTGTCAATAATTACCTCGTTCATACATAGAACATGCCCTTGCACATCGAATCAGATGAGATACATAAACTCCGTATGCAGGTGATGAAGGTATATTGCTGCATAGGTAAGGGAAGTTGACAATAGAAAAGTTAAAAGTCATCATAGAGCTTGGTTGTTAGATTACCATTGACGTCTTTTTAAAGTAAAATATCCAGATATGAAACAAATGGACCAGACTCTGTGGTACCTTTTATCTCAAGGTCACCAGGATATATCGTATTGACATAAGAATGGAAATTAGAATTTTTCATTGACAATACGTCGTCGATATACTAGCATTTAAATGTCGAGTTGAGGGCCACCACAGGTGTTTCTTTTACTGCATAAGATTGTGTACAAAGTCTGCTTCATATGAACAAAAATAAGTCTGCTAATGACGGAGCGCAATTGGTACCCATGGGAATTCTAATAGATTGTCGGCAGACCTGGTCTCCAAAAACAACATAGATATTGTCAATCAGAAACTCAAGCATCTTTTTGATGTCGACTTCAGAGTACTTGTGTGTACAATAAAAATGTTTTTAAAATTTTGCAAATGACCAATGACAAGGTAAGTAAATTTACACATTCCATTTTTATTGAAAAGGCAGCTGATATCGAAAAGCCTGGACTATAATTCATCGTGGGGAATGGTTGTAAAGTTGAAAAGTCGTAAGTTTTTTAAGCTCTTGCATTTTGGTAAATCTTGTGATTTCAAATTGTACAAAAGTTCTTGGAATTTTTAAGTATCCACATCTGATTTACAACACTTATTGGATATATTGTTGTACAGTACTCCTGAAGTTTCTCCTTCACTACTGTTAATATCTTAGTAAGGAGAAAGAACGAGGCTTGGTTGAACATTTACTGGAACCCGCTATGTATCTTTTTTTGTAAGGATTCTTATGAAGTTTCGAAATCCAATATACATGTATATACGGTAGTTCAAAATCATTTTGGTTCTTTGGGATATTAAAATTATTCAAAACTGACATATGATTTTGGAGAATTTCCTCCTTAGAAAGGGAACTATGAGTATAAGTTGGGTTACCACTTCTAGAAAGAACGTATTTTATTGAGACCCAACCAGAGAAGTTCCATGGAGAATCAAGTTTTAGATTTTGAGTGATGACCATCCTTTAACGGCTTCCGTAGTCTCGCGTACAATAACTCTGAACATGCAGTAAATATGGAATCTTCTAACAAGTCTGAATTATCTTTGTATAAGGTTTAGCCTTACCAACGAAATTATGTCCTCATGATTCGGTAAAATTTTGATTGTCAACACGAATTAAAATGATTCCACGACA